CTGCTGGCATCCCCAGCCAAGGCCTGGGAAGCGGTGAAATACTCTCCATGGAGGTGGCCGTCCCCAGGACCTCCTCCGCACCCGGCTGCGTGCGCCTGGCTGAGCTCCGCTGCCGGCCGAGCAGCCCTGCCTGCGCTGGGGGAGAGAGCGAGCATCCCGCCTGCCGTGCCTGCTGCAGAGTGACTCCTTACAGCCTCCTGCCTAATTTGGGCAGCCAAAGCACTCGTGCGGGCGCGTGGCGTGGTTCACATGTGACCCCACGCATGTACACCAGGATCTCCTTGTGCCAGACCCTCATGGGGCAACATCTGACATCACCAGGGGAGAAGATCACTTACGGGGGATCCAGAGCCCTCTGGCCAGCCGCCTCATGGACACGCATGTCTGAATAAGGAATTCTTTCTAGGAGCACCCCTTGGTTCATTAATCACCACTTTTCCTGTGCTGACCTCATTTACTTTTGTCTCTGATGTCATAGCTCACAGCCAGCCCTGTGCTGCAGGCACCAGCAGTCGCTAACAGCGTCTCCTCTGCTCTTCCCTGGGCCTGTGCTGAGATTCATACTGAAAAATAGTTTCTCTTCATGCAGAAAACACCCGAGCAGGGCCTGGGTTTGGGGAGCAGAGCTTGCCTTCCCTGACTGCATCGGCCAGTAGTGGCCAGGGCCGAAGGTTGGAGCATTTGGGAACTTGGGAGTTTCCAAAACTGCTAGGCAAGACCTGCAGCACAGCTGCTTGCCAGGCATCTCTGCACCATCCACCCTTTGTTTTTGCAGCGCGTGCAAAATAAAAATCACAGCAAACATTTCGAGACGCGCATTGACTGTCAAACCACAAACCTCCCCGCTGCCCGGGTCCCTGCCGTGTTTGGGTTGCTGCTTGATCACTTGCAAACAGCTTCTTTTATTGAGTTAGTAATTACAAGGGGGTTGTTTCCCTTGAGGTTGCTTTCCTCCGGCTTTGCTACGGCCTTTGCTGTGAAACCAAGGCAGTCCATTGTGCCGGAGAGTCCAGTTTGGTATCTGCCTGGCTGGGGGAGGAAAAATGGTAGCTGAGCCCTGCCATAATTTTGTATTTTGGTCTCTTTGCCTTCCTGGCTCCTCTGCCGAGAGCCCCACGGACCCACCGCTGTGACTGTGGCTCTCGCCTTAACCCAGTGCCTGCACTACCTGCAGGGAGGCCCTGGCATTTGGGGCTCCCTCCAGTTCCCACCCTCTTCCTGCTCGTTTTGGGGGGGCTCTGTTGTTCCTTTAACCCTGCGATGAAAGCTGAAAACAGCCGAGGCTGCCTGGCTTCCTCACAACATCCTTTAAGATGAGAAATTCCCAAGCCTGCAACAAGTTCACTTGGTCACGGGCAGATCACGGCTCAGGGGGGGGCCGGCACCGTTTGGTCACGGGCTGCGTGAAGGCAAGTGGGGAACAGCTGCATGCTCCAGCAACAGGGTTTTGTTGGTTTTTTTTTTCCTAAATAGCTTTTAATTCTTCATATTTTCCTCCCTCTTTGTACCCTGCTTTTCCCTTGGCGCAGCCGGCTTCTCCGCCCCCAGGGCCCACCAGGCACTGGTGCATGGACAGTGAGACGCGGCCACCCTCCGACACATCCCTGTCCCACGCCGGGATCCAGCGGGATGGCACTGGCTCCCACCGAGCCCTCCCCAGCTGCGTCCGGAGCCTGGGCAGGTCGGGCAGCAGGACAGGGCGGCCGTCGTGGGGGGCACGGCTTATGGCGGGGGGCTGAGCGGCGGGAGGAGAACGCCTGCGTGGGCTTCGTGCCACATGGCTGGGCTGAAGAAGGCTCTTCCTTCGAACTGCAGCCAGGCGTGGGGGCGAGAGCTTAAGCCATTCGTATTCCTGAGTGTCAATAAAATAAGCAAACAGTCAAGGGTTTTCCTGGGCCCGGCGAGGAAACTCCTGCAAACTTATTCTTCACTTCATTTAGCCATGCAACAGCTTTAGCACTGCAAGCCCTCAATGCTAAAAAGCCCAAAGCCTGACTTTAAAACACGGGGCTTTGCTTTTTGCGCCTGAATAGCCCATGAGCTCGTTTTCCCATCTGCCTACCACTTTTGGGAGCCGTGTCCTCGCAGGAGGACCCATCGCCGAAGCCTCTCTCTGCTGCCTGGAAGGCTGGATGCATTTCCTCCATCAAAAGATGAACCTCCTGTTGAATGACATGTCCTGAGGCTGGGCCTTTAGGTAAAGCAGCAGTCGAGCAATTAAACCAGGGAGAGCTGCCAAGGCTCCCTGGCTTCTCCAAGATTACCTGCAGCACCGGGCGAGCCAAGCTGGCATCCCCGCACGGAGGAGATGCTTTCCGGCAGCGTGCTGCAGCCCTCCCAGGGCTTATTTCAGGATTTATTTCTCAGGCTCGGCTTTGCGGGGTGGATGTAAACCACCTGCTCCAACCTTGACAAACGGGGCGAGCGCCCGCCTTCCTACGCCCCACGTTGACTTGTGCTGAACGCCCGGCCAAGGCGCTGCGAGCAAACGGCGTTCGAGCGAGCGCCCCGAGCAGCTGCAGGGAGCGGACGCCAGGCGCTCTGGAGGTGTCAGCTCCAGGCGCCCGGGGCCCACGGCTTCTTTCAGCACCTATTCATTTCGAGCTGTTAAAAGCAGAGACACGCGCTTGCGGATGGCGTTGCACGCCTCCCCCGGGAACGCCACGGCCAGGCGGTTGTGCCGGTCCCCAGCGATGCCGAGCCCTTCCTCCCATCCCTCCCCAGTCCAGGCTGATGCACCCATGATTCCTGCGCTTTGTACCCCTCTTTGCACCCATTCCTCTCCAAATTCCCTGCGGACAGGCCCTCAAGCCCAAAGAAGTCTCACGCCAAAAATCTTTCTTCTCACCGGATCACCCTAAGGCAATCCGAGCAGGGATGTGATTATTATCCTCGCTGTGATTTTGCCCTTGCTTTCCATCCTGGGGGGCGGATAGAGCTCACCCCTACTCCAGCTCCCTTTGGGGGATGAGGGAAAAGGTGTCCTAACCCCAAAATGAACCATGCCGGAGCGAGGCACACACCCGGGACTGCCAGGCCCGTCCTTCGAGGACCGAGCTCCCCGGGTTCGCCGTCGCGGCGCAGGTTCCCACTTGGGTCTACGCTCCTCAGAGATGAGCCATGGGCTGGGGGTGCTGCATGTGTGCCGGGGGGGACCCCAAAATCGAGGCACGGGGCAGCAGCTGCCTTCAGTCCCCGCGGCCTCGCGCCCAAGTGCCAGATGTGCGATGCCTCCCTTGCTGGGAGGAAAGGGAAACGCAACGGCCTTTCCGACCGAGGGAAGGACTGTCGTCGTTGTCTAGACGATGTGACTAAGGAGGGAAGGGGCCGACTGTTTGTACAGCTTTGGGGAGTGTAAACAGTGCCGACTGTCCCAAGCCCTTCAAAGCAGAGGAATCCGGAGATCGGATGAAAGCACAGGGAAATTCTGGCTGGGTGTCTGAACAGAGCAGCTAAGGAGAAGGGGACCTCTCCGAGACAAAATCCCCAGCGCCCGAGTCATTTCAAACCAGGCCGAGCGCTGGGTGACAGGCGGGAAGGAGGAGCGGCAGGGCGGTACGTGGGCTCCCAGGACTTTCCCAGCTTCAGTTGCTTCTCCCCGCAATCTCGGAATAGGTGTCCTGAAAATGAAACTGGAGGCCCTGGGAATCCCGCTCTGCCTTGCGGTGAGCTGGTTTGGCCTCTGCATTTCATTCAACTCACAAAAGAAAGAGAAAAAGTTTTTTGAGAGGTGGTTTCCTTTTTTTTCTTTTTTTTTTTTTTTTACAACTTTAAATACAGTACTGAGTATAAATTAATCTTACATTTAAAAAAAAAAAACCAACAAAAAACCTCACCATTTTTACAAACCAAAGGAAACAGATTTTGGAACAGGAAAACAAAGTGTCTTAAGACTTCAGGGCTTGGGGAGGGAGGGAGGGAGCAACGTGCTGGCTTGGCAGTGGTACGAGAAGTGCTCTGGGCTTGCAGGAGGCGAGGGCTGGGTCCCTACACAACTTGTAACAGCTCCCAGGTCGTGGCTTCACCTCCTTCCCCGGGCTCCCTGCAGGGCTTTGCCCCACATCAGGGGGGTGTGTGTGTGCGAGGGGAGAAGGGGCTGGAGGCAGGAGGGGTGGGGGGGGACGGGACAGCTGCGCTAGCTTTGGGCAGGCATTTTCTTCATGTGTAACTCTGCACGGCACAATCTGAGACCGGGACTCTGAGTGACGCTGGAAATTCCTTTCTGCTAATGGTGACTGAGTATTAGGTGTGCAGAAATAGCCCTTGCTCAGAGAGTCCTCCTCCCGCCTCCAGAGCAGGTTTTGGCCCAGGAGGGACTCTACAACTGACTCTCCAGTTGTTGTCCGAGTCCTCCTCACTTAGAAGAGCTCGTTTCTATCTCAGACGGCTGCTGCCAACTGCAAAGACCATCCTCATTTCTTTCTCTATACCTGCACAGAGCTGCCCACATCTTGGACCAACTTCCAAGCTAAGTGGGCTGGGAACATCTAACGGGCAAAAATCCAAAAGGAATTCGAGAGGGAAAATGTGAGGAAAACAATGGGAGATGCGGCGACATTGGCAGGGAGAGAGCAGTGGAGGCATGGTGTGCAGGACACCCATTAAGGGGTTAAAAATCTCGGGGGAATGACACGATTCTGCTTTCAGGACCACAGAGCAGGCAAGGACAGCTCGCTGAGATTAAGTCATGCTTCTAAGTTTGGCTGCTGTTGGTCTTGTTGTGGTGCCACTTCGCCTCCTGCAAGGAAGTTGTGCTGGGGGGGGTGGTGGAGAGTGAGAGAAAAGGGCAACAAGACAGAGAGAGATCAGATGATGTCTCTGCCTGTCCCGTCCCGGACCTCGCAGGCACGTTGCAGTAACAGCGTGCTTTTCTGCCAGCCCAACGAAGCCGATGCATGCACGTGCCTCTGAGCTTCCTGCCACTGGGGAATGAAATCCATTTAAGAACATATATATATATATATTTATATATGTATGTATAAATACACATACACACACACACGCACGCACACGTATATATATATACACACATATACACGCGCACACATACAGAGCGAATTTAAAAAATAATTTGAGTCTGAGCCTGGAAAGTTGAATTCTCCACCAGCATGTGCAAAGATGGCTCCCCTTGGCAGGGGCCGGGGGCGTGGAGACGATTCTGCTGCCGTCTGCTCCTTCCCCACGATCCAAACACCTTCCAGTCAGCACCAGGAGCAGGAGGGGAAAGGGAGGGGGGGAATGCATTTGGCTTCTTTGTTTTGTTTTGTTTTGTTTTGTTTTTTTGTTCTGTTCCCCGAGATGTTGTGTATCTTAGTGGTTTTGGTTTTTCTTTTTTAAAATAAAATATACACACGCACGTTAAAAATATATATCTGTCCAGGTAGGGCGATAAAAGTCCTTAGTGCATTTTCCATCATTGGTCGCCGCTCACAATCTGAGATATGCCTGTTTTCAAAATGTAGGTCCAGTGCAAGTGTTGATCTCAGCCGGGCCCCCCAGCCTTACCAGAAACACGAGGGAAAGGGAGAATATTCCCCTTCCGCCCTCTGTCCATTTGTTTTTCTCCTCCCCTCGGAAGTAATTGGACCCACTTTCCTCTTCACATTTTCCATCCTGTCCTCTGGAGCTGGGAAGGCGTTGTCCTGTCCTTGTCGCATGTTGTGGCTGTCAGGGTTCATGGTTTTATTTGTACTTTGTTCTTTTCTCATATATATATATAGGTCATGTTTGTCCTTGTCTTTTGTGTGTAAAACTTTAAAATTATGCTAATAAATGAAAGAAGGGAGAGGCTTTGGTGGGAGAAGGTCCACTGATGGAAAGGGAAGCACCAATTGCCGTCTGAATCAGACGTCGAGGCAGACGGACAAAGAAGAAAAGTTATCACTCCAAGGACCCCATGGGGGCAATACAGCAAATATATTAAATAAACCTGGAAGTGAAACAAAAACAGACACAGCATTAGAACATGTAACCCTCTCCCCCTGCAACTCCCCTCCTCTCCAGTCTTCTCCTCTGGAAATGTTTGCAGGGAAGTGCCAGATTAGAAGCCCAGGAGGGCTTTTGACCTCCTCTATTTTTTCCCCTGGACAACTTGAGCCAGAGCTGAGATTTGCATGGGTTTGCATCAGTTCTAGCCTGGGAACTTTGGGCTGGCCAGGAGGATCCTGGGATAATCAGAGTCCTCGTAGTGCTAAGCGTGGGAATACCAATCCCAAGACACCGCCTGGTGCCCCTCGTCCCCAGCTCCTGAAACGCCACACAATGGAAGCCCGTTGTCCCCTCTCCCGAGGCAAGGGGAAATGAATGTGAAGTGAGCGGCTCAGGCTCATTCAAAGGGCTGCGGCAGAGCTGGAACTGCTGAGTCACGGGCCAGGGCTTTCCCTGTGGGGCTGTGCCACCTCTCTAAATTCAGCTCCCCTCAGTCTGTGCCCTGGCTACTCTTCCTCTCTTTTCTGCACCTTTCCCCTCTCTCATGGGGAACCAGGACTTATTCGCCTTTCCCTTGTACCAGTGAAATTCTTCTGATGACGAGGGAATTACTCCTGTTTACACAAGTCAGAGAGAGAAGAATCAGACCCTGGACTGACAAAGTCCAGATCTCCTGCCAGAGATTCCAGTTCTCCTTTCCCCTGGTATGACCTTTCTCATGCACACAGGCTTCCCGCAAGGAGAGAGATGAACCAAAAGTGTTGCTGCTTTTCAGTCTTTCTGCCAACTCAACTAATGAAATAAAAGCAAAAGGGATCCCCAGAGCAACATTAATTCTCTGCTTTCAACGGAGAATCAATAGAGAAAGGAGAACAGGAGTTGCTCCACAGAAGAGATGAATTACATGGACCCTGAGGGGATTTAGGTGTAGAGAGAAGTCAGGCTCACTCTCTGCCTGTAAGGGCAGCCGAGAACGGAGAGGGCAGGGCCCGAGAGCAAGTCTGGTTGCAGCATGATCCTTCCACCTTTGTGAAGGGCCATAAAGCCATAAATAGGATGCACGTGCTGGGTCCCAGCCTAGTCCTTCCCCCTCCTCCAACCCGGGTTTTATCATGCCCAGGCCCTGCAGTAGCCCCACACTGAACGAGCAGCCAGCGCTGCAGGAAGGGTCCAAGATGCCTGGTCAGAACCGTGTCCTGGGAGAACACCTCTCCCGACTAGAAAAGCAGCTTGCTGTTACCTGCCTTGTGCTCTCTCTCCCCTGCCAGCACTTCTATGCTATGAGGATTTCTTTCAGCACTTTCTTATCGTTGACATGCTTGTACTTCTTATGTTTCCTCTTCTGCGCCGGCGGCCGGCGTACTCGCCGCCTCTGTGAGACAGCGGCTGTGGTGAACGACGGTGACAAGCCTGCCAAAACAGAGGGGAGAGTGTCTGTACAGCACGGGGCAGCCAGCTCATGTTGAAATATCTTTCTCCACACACTATCAACAAAGAGCTCTGCAACAGGAGGGCCACAAGGCCTCCTTCTGTTCTTCTGTCCCTTGTCCTCTGTTCTCCACAGTGTCTGCTCTCTCTGTTTTCCCACGATGCCCTTCCCCTCACCTCTCACCTTCCCCTCCTTCATTTCCCTCAGTTTCAGCCCCTTGCTGGCAGGCAAACATCCTGGGAAAGGTCCCTCGCCTGGTATAAACCAGCGAAGGCCCATGGGATTCACTGGAGCTAAGGAGATTGAAAGCAGCGGAGGGCTCTTTCCTCTCTCCCCAGCCCCTCTTCTCACACCTCCCTCCACTCTGCTAATGCCAAGATCCTTACGTCTCTGTTCACGTGGTCCTGGTCGGCTGTTCCTGGGGGGCTGACGGGACACTGCTTCACACCGACACTGCACATGGTCCTCCAAAGGCACAACGACTTTTTTGAATTTTGGCTTCCTCTGGACAAATTCAATCTTGTTCACCTATTTGGAAGAGAAAGGCAAGCAGGAGATTAATACAGCTGTAGCTCCCACTCTGTAAAAATAATCAGTGTCAGTACTGGTTTTCTTCCTAAAGGATCAGTTTATAGATTGGATCAGTTTATAGGATCAGTTTATATTTTAGGCAGTTTATAGAGCAAGGTTCAAATTCAGGGGTGCTATGTATGGGAGTTAAATCTGCACACACCAGCAGAGCAGACCTAGACCAGGCAAGTTTGGATGTGACTGGTTGTTTCCACTGTTCCTAACTATTGCTGCTGCTTAAGCAGGATGACTGGTTGATCACAGACAGAAACATGGGACATGCAGAACACACTAGCCTGTTTCTGACAGATGTGATGGCGGAGACCTGGGGGCAACCAGAATTAATTCCCACAGGATCCTACAGGAAGGGCAAAAGGAGAAAAACTCAGGCCCAATGCAAGTGAACGCAGCTTCACCAGCTCTGCTGAGGCCTGTCTGAATTTGTCTCAAGCTCTTTAATAACTCACAGGGCTGAAGCCCTCAGCTCCGTGTTTCACTGGAAAGGCGGTGCTCTGGAAATTCCCTCGGACTCTCCACCAGTGCTGACTCAGAGGGAAGACTCACTGCTCCACATCCCACCACAGGGCACAAGCTTTCTAAGGGGTCCTCCCACTCCAGGAATGGCTGGGTCTGACCCCGCTCAGCTTATCTAACAAGACCGCAGCCCCTGAAGTGCTCTGCAAGCTATAAATACTTGCTCTGCCGCGCGTCTGGGATTGAATTCCTCTAAACCCACTGCCCCCAGCAGCATCCCTCAGCCAGCACCGAAGCAGTGAGGCTGTTTATCTTTCCTTGAAAGCCCACTCCACACGCTTCAGACCACACGCTGCTTGCTAGACAAACACTTCCAGACAAACAATAGAGAGACCTCTGTCCTCAAAGAAACCATTTCCAGGTCACTTTTTCAGGCTGGCTTTTGACCTCTCACTTGTTTTTTCCACAAAAACAACTCCTGCTCCCCCCCATTTTTCCCTCATTCAGCCTGGCTTTTCTGAGAAAGGAATTTCCTGATGAAAAGAGCTGTGTGAATACAACCTCTCCCAGCCAACCTCTGCCGCCTGCCTGGGGGAGTCTCTTACGGCTCAGGCAGAGGATTAATATGGGATGAGTATTATTTTTAAACAAGCTGTCTGGGAGGAAGCTGTGAGGAGATCACTGGTAGCTGTGAGGAGGGCAGGATCAGAGCAAGAGGTTAGCCATCAGGTGTCTGCTTGCTGCTGGAATGGGTCAGGAGGTAACCATGGGGCTGAGAAAGAGGAGAAGCTGCTCCAGTGCGTGTCTTGGGAAGAAGCTGCAGCAGCAGTGGGGAGATGGAGCACTGACACTGCAAGCCCTCCTCTTTTTGCATCAAAATCAGTTCCCGCGATGAAAGCATCCTCTTTTTTCTGTTCTAACACAGCAGACAATGTCGCCTCCAGCCACAGAAATAGCCGTGGCGCAGAGCTGCAGCTGGGGACAGTACCCTGTAGCTCTGCTATGGTGACAGTCCCCAGCTGCTGGACAGCACCAGCCCTCCGAGTAGGTGGCCATGGACGTCACCCTGCGCCAGAGGCTGCAGCACTGCGTGGCTAATGCAGTAGACGTGACTGCAGAGCGGGTGCAAGGGAACAGACAGCTGTGTGAGCCTTGCACCTGAGACCCGCTGTGGTTTTGGTTTTGGGGGGGTAGGGATGGAGGTGGGCTGTGGGAGGAGGGAGCAGCGGGAGGCATCTCCCTTACCTGGACATGCCGGACGCGAATCTGCGTGGGACGACACTGCACATTGCGGTTGTTGCAACACCCGGAGCAGCGCTGCACCTCTACGCAGGGCGGCCACACCACAAAGTTGGCGTTGGTGCTGTCCACCATGTTGCGGGAGATTTCAAAGACCACCGCCCGCGTCTTGCACTCCGCGAGGACAGCTGGCTCTGCTGCTGCCAGAGCATCTACAGAAGGCCAAGAGAAGAAGGGGGGATGAAACGGGCTTTGCAGCTGTTACCAACCCATTGCAACCACCTCTACTGGAAGAGAAAGACCCCCCACAGCTCTCACACACACACACATGTTCTTTCTCCTTCTCCCACCCCTCCAGCTCCCTCCCTGGACAGAGCTGCACCCTGTGGAGGAGCCCCCAGTAAAAAGATGCTTCTCACTGCAGTGGCAGTCCTAGGCAGGAGATGACACTTCTTTAGAGCAAACCAGCACCAGCGGGATTTAAAGCACAGCACCTTGCAGAGCTCCAGACTCCCTCTCCGGCCCTCCTGGGGTGTAACACCCAGCTCCTACGTGAGGCCCAGACCCTCATTCTCATCTGTCTATACATCCATGCGCACTATAATCTCTATCCCCAGACATGTATTTCAGACATGCATCTACACCCAGCCACAGCTGCTCAGGTGAGTGCCCAACAATCACAAGGTGCCACACTCCCGACTCACCTAGGCTTCGTCGCTCTCGAGACAGGGCCATCGGGTTTTGACTGGGCTGAGTTGCATTCAGGTCCAGGCTCGAGCTGTCCTCCTCTGCAAAGGGAAGGACATGGCCTAATAGCACCGGGTAGAGGCCAGAGAAGACAGCAGGCACATGTGCTCCGCTCATCAGGCAAAGTGCAGAGATGTGGGATAAGCCATGGCCCCAGTACGTCACACTAGGTGTAAATCCACCAGCAAGGTCACAGCTGTGCTGGAGCATGGACACTCTAGGTTTGCTCTTTGCTCAGACTAGGCAGTTGAAAGCAACAAGCTTATTGTGAAAGAGGGGTTCCAGTCGGGTCTGGGAGAGGAAAACTGCAGCTCAAGAATGACAAGGCCTACAGCAGGGCTGTCTGGTGTCAGAGAGGAGTAGCACCTGGATTCAGATCAGCTGGCTGAGGCCACGATATGGCAAAGAGGATGGGACCAGATGGGACAAGCAGAAAATTTGGTATATAACACTGAGGTGCCTTGCTGGGATGGCTTGGGACTGGGAGAGTTGGGGTGTGAGAGGGCAGGTGAAGGGGGATGATGGGTGGGAGGTGGGGTGCTTGCTTTCTCTTTCCCAACCCACCACAGCTGCTCTAGTTTAGAGTCAGTTTTAGGGCAGGAGAACAGAAAAATAAAGTTGAAATGGCTTTTCCCCCATCCTACTCTAAGGTAAGCTGCAGAATCTGGAGGTATTTCTGTCAGCGATGGGAGAGGAAGGCAGATAGCATTCAGGCCAGCCCTGAGCAGTTCCCTCCCACCCCACTGCTTTTTCCCATAGGAAGCGCTGAATAGAGAAATGCCCATAATCCCCATGGAGCACTCCAACATGCAGCCCCTCCTGAGCTCCGGACAATGGCCACGCTCAGAGATAGCTCCCACCCAGCCACAGCTCTTTCCTTCTCTGACATGCTTTAGCAGCTGAAGGAAGCTGAATGGACGTCAGCATCAAGGGAGCAATTTTCTTAGAGGGAATTTGGGGCCAGTGGAAGATCTCTGTTTATCAGATGTGCAGTGGAGCAGACTTCCCATATCTATCATGTCCCATCCCTCTTCCTCAGTCCGCCCTAGTGCAGCCCTCTTATAAGAGGGAGCAGGGACTTTGCTCTCCGCTCTGCTCTGCAGCAACTGCTGAAGGATGTGGGATGGGTGCACAGAGGCTGTATTCACAAAGCAGGAATCATGTGCCTGAGCAGTCAACATCTACATGGGAGGTGGACAGACAAACACCCTTTAAAGTGTCTGGAGAGGCGTGATCAATTGCAGGACACCATTCGCCTTGCCCTGAGGCAGACATCCAAAATGAGACCTGGTGGATCACGCTCTGGAAGGGCATGCAGCTCTCCAGGGAGCTACAGAGAGTGTCTGGATGACTGGGTTAGATGGTCATGCCTGCTTTGCGGGCAGCCACAGTTAAGGTCTACAGTAGCGTCTAAGGTCAGGAGAGCAGTATCCCACTCAGTTCATCTGCCTCCTGCAGCTGCCTAATCCTGGCTCCCTGTGCAGTGGAGGGCAGCGGCTATGACACATACATGGGGCATGGATAGCACAGGGAACAGCCCCAGCTGCTTTGGGATTATTTTGCTAATACACTTATTTGCTAATACACTAATTCCACACAGGCCAAGCAAATGGTGATGCCCCTCAGTCACTACCTGGGAGCAGATGACAGCCACAGGGTGCAACAGAGAGACAGCTTCACAGCACCATTTTCTGTTTCCCTGACCAGCCTTTCTCATCTGGGACCTGAAGTGAAACCAGTGACTCAAAGCTCTGCAGCCTTCCCCCATACCCCTGGGCTTTTCAAGCCAACAAGAGAAGCCCATTTTATTTCTTAATTGTGAGGGTGGTTAGAAACTGCGATAGAGATGTATCTGTTCCTTAGACACCGGGACATGACAGACTGCACGCATCTTCTCAGCCGCTCCTTCCCCACCCCTCCATCCTGTGCCGCCTGGCATTTTATCAAACGAGGGTGGGGGTTGCCTTTTGCGCTGAGGTTGAGTTGATGAGAGGAGAGAAAGGGGGGAAAAAAATAGCAACAACTGTTGACTTGAAACAAATCTCCTATTGAAAACCAGGTTCCTCCCTCTCCCAGGTTGTCCTTCTACACCCCGGGTCAGCACTGAAGACGGCTGGGGCGGCGGGACCAGCCTGGGACAATCCAGCACAGCTAATTTTGGAAGTTGCCCCATTGTGTGGCTGGTGGAGGAGGAGGAGGGAACTGGTGAGGGCAGGGAGCGGCCGTGGTGGTGGTGGGGAGCCTCGTCGCCTCTTTCTAAGGCAAACAATAGCTGAACGCAGCTGGTGCCCTCCCCCTCACTTTCCCCCCCCTGCCCCTCCAGGGCCGTTTTGAAAGGCAGCGGGAATGCTTTTGAGACTGCGCCAGTGGTTGGACTGGCATAGGAAACAAAAGCAGGAAATTCTGTTCCCCCGTAGATAGTGTCTCGGCAAGGATTACAAAGCTCCAAACAGACAAAACACGAGAGAGAAGGCGAGCTGGGGGGGCTGGGGGATGACGGGCGGGAGCAGGGTTAGAATAGAAAGGAATTTGCTCTGAAGAGACCGTTTATAAATAAATTCCTGGGCCAGCCCAGCCGCTGTGGCGCGTGCTCCAATTCCCACACGTGCCGACCCCTCCATGCTTCGCCGCTCCTGCCGCTCGCTGTGCTCGGCCCTGGCCAAGTGACCCCGAGGCACTGCAGCCCCCAGAGCTCTTATCTACGGGCAGGAGGTGAAGCGATGCTACCCTGACTTAGGTCCTGTCCCGTATCTCAACCACGGACACGTGCTCTGCTACTCCCATCCTAAGACCCTCTGGGAGCCCAGGGTCTTTCAAGGATGCTAAAGCTCAGAGAACTCACTCACCCCTTTCCTCCTCTACCACCCTATTTCCACCTCCCTTTTCTACACCTGCTAAACTGATCCTTGGCCAATTCAAGCTCTGCTGCCTGTGCATCTTCCAGGGTGAAAAGTGCTGACACCAGTTCCTTGCACTCACCTTGCCAATCTCCTATCATTTTTGGAAGCCAGCGTCCCTCGAAAGACCAGGCAGTTAGGAGGAGAGATCTAAAAAGGCATCTGGTTGCCTAGCTCCCACAGGTTTCAGGGGGACTAGGTGTGTAAATAGCCAGGTCTTGGCTCCCAAATCGTTCCTATATTTGTAGTGAGGTCTGTTGATAGTGTGCCTGCTGGCATATCTCCTCCCTCCCCCCAAAAGAGTTAAGAAAAAATAGAGGAGTGTTTGGTGAAGAGGAGATTTACCTACGGAGTCTATCCGCAGGGCACGCTGGAGGTCGCTGATGGAGCGCACTGAGCTGCCACCCAAAATCTCATAAATGTCTTCAGGTATGGGGTCCCCCTGCCAGATGACAAAAAGAAAAGAAGGGGAGAAACAAGCGTTAGAGAGGTGATCTGCAAATACTGACTGCGTCACGGAGCGGGAGTGAGGGGAATAGAAGGAGGAGGCATGACAGAACCAGCAAAACACAAAGATGTGCCCTCATGAAGGCATCAGCCTGAAACCTGAGCAAAAGCAAGAGAGCCCCTCTTGCTGCCTCTCATTAAGCAGTCAGGAGACTGAAAAAGCCAAAAAATGCCCAGGCTGTACAGCAGAGCCCTGAACACTACGCATGCAGCCAGCCAGGCTTCCTCCTCCGGTGCTGTATGATTTCTCCAGGTGGCCTCTCATTCCTGCTGCCTGCAGTAAAGGCGTTTTAACAGACTTCCCTTACGCTATCAGATAAAACCTTCCCAATATTTCCCTCTGTTATGAAACTCCCTCACGGGCTTTGTCAGATATCGTGTGTATGTGCGTGTGCGTGCGCGTGTGTTCTCAAACCACAGCGGCCCAATAATATACATCATTTGCATACTCTTTAAAAAAAAAAAAGGTGGGGGTTGGAGAGGAAGATTGACCTTTGCAGCTGAGGCTGCTCCGGCATGAGCCCGCGGTGAAACCACAAATGCTGCAGGGAGGACATGAAAGGCTGTTCAAGGTGGTGGGCTGAGGAGCTGATTTGGATGAAGAAACACATGGGAGTTTGGATGTCATTGCACGCCAGTGCGAAAAAAAACTAAGTAAGCAGGTTTATAGACATCAGACGACAGACTCAATTCAGTGTTTGTGCAGGCAGGTGCAACGCCATCAATCTCCTGGGAATTTTACTCTGGCACCAGGCTTGAATTGGCCCCAGTGACAGCACTTAACAAGACTACAAAGGAGCGGTGTGGGAAAGCAAGCACTGATTAAAACATACTTCCGAAAGACTGGAAAAAGAGACGGAGGAAAGTACTGGCCAAAGTGTTTGCTTAGCTCCTAGCTCTCTTCATTCAGGGCTACTCATGCGGAAAAGCTGCTCTTTCAGCCGGGTGCTGGATGCTGTCTGAGCCACAGCCCTACACATGCCCCTGTAACTGAGAGGAGAACTTGGCTCGTGTACTTGTGAAATGCAGGGATTTTTGTGTGGGTTTTTATGGGCAGTTGGTGGCATGTGTGTGGTCCTTCTAGTGAGCAGCTATTCCCTCCCTGCCTGCGTTCAGTGCAGAACATTTCCCTTCCGCTTGGAGTCAAGGGAAACCACCAGGCAGGTGGTTAAATGTTGGCTTTTAAACCTTGAGGGCTTTAGCCCAAACCTGCAGTCACTTTTGCACGGCTGCTTGAGCCTGGCACCCTCCCACACATGCCTGTCCCTTGGCCACCTGCCCTTCGCCTCTACTAACAGAGCAATAGGAGTGCTCCCTCCTCAAACCTGCTAGCCCACCCTCTAATACTATAACTTAAACTAGGACGCAGTGGCTTGAAGGCTGCTGCAGCACAAGTCACGGGGCAGAAACCTCCTGGGATAGCTGCAGAGCAGGCAACACTAGCGTCTTAAACCTCCGCAGCCACATCCACCAGAGAGCTCGAGTCAGATCGAGCCTCTCTGCCCCGCTCCGTCCCTGTCACTGTCACATCTCACCACGGAGCTGGCTGTCCGCCTGCAGCAAAAAGCAGATTTTACATCCCCAGGCATTACTTCCTCAGTCTCTGAGGGAGAGGGAAGCAGCATCAGTGATGAATGCACAGCGAGAGAGAGACTTGTATAATTCAGGGATCACTGAATAGCTGCGAAATGAAGATGCCTTCTGACAACTCCTGCTGCGTGAGGAAGAGTGGGACCAACAGCCCAGTGCCAGAGAGGCTCTGCAGCACTTCCCTGCCTTGCACCACACACGTTTACTGGAAAAGGGATCATTTGCAATTCCCAGTACTTGCAGCCAGAGCTCAGTGCTGGGCGGTGAAATTGCAGGCTTTTTAACGTTTGCACCTGTCACCCAAATGCATTTGTGTATGAATGCTGCTGTGCACGGATGCCCCTGGTCCTTCCTGACACTTAATACATGTAGGAAATGGAACTTTATTTTAAACTCCGGCACTCGCTGGGCGAGAGCGTGGGCGGGTGTTACGAGACTCGGTGACTTTGGAGGCGAGCTGGGAGGTGTCACCTTGCTAAGTGAGCAGGGGGAACAGATATGAATCAGGGATTGCAAATGCAGGCCCTCAGGAGCCGGATTGCTGGGGACTGCCTGTAGGAATAAGCTCCACTCCCTGCTCACAGCAGCAGTTTTAGGTGCCAATTTTTTCTTGTTGCAGATACTATCAGCATGGCTACGCCGTATCACCAGCCCACATGGCTCATAATCCTGTCCTCCTCCCCAGGCTTTGTGAGGCAGCTCTGCCAGTGACAACCGCCAGCCTGTGAAGCTCCTTTACTTTCCTCTAGTGCTGCAGAGCCATGTCCAAGGCTGGCCTAAGAGCAGCTGCCCAGACCTGAGCTGCCCAGCTCCCTTTGGGGTCTGTGATTGGGAACAGCCATGCCTCTGGCCCCCCATCCCGGTCTCATGCCTGGGAGGCTCTGAGATTGGGGAACCGCACACACCCAGGCTCAGAGCACTCGATGGGGATGGGACACAGGGAAGCAGAGGTCCATCAGCCACCTCCACCTGATCCCATGGAGTCAGAAGGTGGAGGAGCATGCAGGAGGTGGGATCCCCAACAGACCAGCCCACGCAGCTGGTGCTTTTCCTGCTTAGCAGCTCCTCTGGAGTTATTTGTCTAACACAGGTTAACAATCTCCTTTTTTAACTGTGCGGCAGATCAAAGAAGACTTTTGTCTCAATGGACTTCTGGCTGGCTGACAAGTGCCCCAAGGCCTGGTCTCGTATTCCTGCGGGGCCCTGAATTCCTAGAAGAAAGTTAGTTTGTTCCTCCCTCCCTCCCTCTGCCCCGGTGCCTGGCTCTTCCCCGAACCACAGGGGCATCCCCCACTCTGCCAGTCCCCTGGCAGGGACATCCCCTCCCCTTCTCCTGGCTTCTGGTGCTTCTGGGGCGAGAGCCAGGGCATACCCAACACAAGGCAGCAGAGCACCTGGGCAGGGTCCCTGCCTGCCCCACAGCTGCTCTGCGCTGCGGCTGTGACGCCGGGGCCTCTCGGCGCGTCAGCTTTGCCTCCCTCCTTCCAGACGTCAGCAGTGCTGTTTGGCCACCGCAAACCGATGCACGTGCAGCGATGCCCTGCAAACGGGACATTCCCCCATCCCCGCTCCCCACACACACGCTCTCCCAAAATCAGCCTCCCTCCCTAACTCCATCTGCCTCTGGAACTTTCTGCCAACATATGCTTTTGAGCACCAGGGATGCTGAAAGGTCCCCTTGCCATCAGGCGCTGCCAAGGTGGCGCAGGGAATATTCATGGCTGTGGTCCGGTCCTCCCTCCAGCTATTCACCGGCAAGGGTTTCAGAGTCTTGCCGGAAGGTGTGTCTCTCTTGGTAGCACAGCAGATAGAGAGGAGGAGGGAGCAAAGATTGTGCAACTGGCAGGAAAGGCAGACCCTCGAGGCTCAAAGAAACCAGCCAAGGATACTCCCAAGGTGAGGACTCTTCCAGTCCTCTTTTCTGAGGTGGTGTGTCTACACACCCACTTGTGACTGCACACGTAAGGACAGAAGGATAGCAGCAGCACCAGCGCAGGGTAGGGAAGCACCCAGCTATTCACTCCTCTGCCCAGGAAAGGAGAACTTTCCTGAGCACGTCCACACTGACCGCAGCAAGGGATCTTGGCAGCAGGGTCTTGAATGATCAGCCAGGCAAAAAAACCCAAACAAACAGCACTTTTTAATTCTTTCTGAAGCTGACATGAGGACCCCGAGGGGAGACTCCACCACATTCCCTGGCAGACAGCAAGACCAGCAGCACCTGCCACCAGCCCGCCGAACCCCAGAGGCTCCTGCTCCCCTGGCACAAGGCTTCCTTCCACCCTTCCAGCACTGCTCCTGGCTACAGGCGGACCCCGACATCTGCCTGCTGGAGGATCACGCATGCTTCTCCCCGCAGCAGGCACAACCCTCCTCACATGAGCCCCTTCCACGTGGGACGGCGGCTTATGTTTTCCTCCCTTAAAAGAATCAAGCTTAATGTTTGATCTAGCTCACGTTCCTAAAATCCAGCCAGACCTACCCACCCTTTTCCCATTTCAAGGGGGACTCCGCTGCCCCACCCTGCTCCTCTACGCTCCCTCCACACCTCCCCTGCGAGGGCTGGAGGCATTTCCACCCCCGGGGCCGGTTGTCTATCGGCAGCACTGGAGACAGCGCAGGAACCACTGTCATTCTCTCCTGCTGCTGTGCATCAGCTGACAGTGAGAGGGAGGCAGGGACGACGTGCCTGGCTCCTTCCACGAGCTCACCCCAGACGTGTCATCCATCCCAGCTTCCACTGCTTTGTCCTTGTCACAGCCCCATGCTAAGAAGACTCAGGAAGAGCCCCGGAGCCTCGCACCAGGAAGATGTGATGGGGAGCTGGGCCGAGGTTATAAGCAAGCGCCCAGCCGCACCCCATTCCTCGGGAATTCCAGAAAACCCTGCCAGTGGGGCTTCACCCCAGCACAACCACACTGGGCTCAGCCCATCTCTGTAAATGTTGCAAGGCAACTATTACAGCCTGCAGGGCAAATGCAAATCGGTTTAGCATCCTTGCTTCCCAACTGGCAAATACCTTCCCCGTTGAGGCTCATACTCCCTCCGGCTGGAAAAGCTCCAGGGCCCTCCAGCTCCAGATGGGTGTGATCGAAGAGGGAGAGGGACTCGGGAGGCTCCATCTCCTGGCTCAGGCTTCTGCTGATCATGGGGAACTACTGTTCCCCGTGCACCTTCTCCGGCAGGGCTGGGGAGGAGTTGCAAGGCCCATTCAGAGGATGACTATGGTTCAGCAGCCTGGCAGGAGTCGTGTTGTACGCACCTGGTGCAGGAGGTGCAACACACTGCCCTCAAATTAGACGTGGGGACTGGCTGCAGGCAGAAGCATCTACCCAAGAAGAAACCTTCTTGGTTCTCTGGTCATAAACTGTTGAATATCACAATTCCTCCCGAGAAACCTAGAGCCAGAATTCCCAAACTGCAGCCCTCCTAGGCTGTCATAGAGCTGTGCAGTCTTTTAATGCGATTACAGTGCAGAGTAACAGCCCCCTGGAATCAGACACTTCCATCTTCACCCTTCCCCAGTGCCAACCATAGCTGATGTTTCATGCTGCATGGGAGAAAGAGATCTGAGCCACCCACAGAGGAAATACCATCCTCTGCCCAAAACAAACATAACCACTGGGCAGCCCACAGCTCTAACTGCTTCCCTTTGCGGCTTGGGCAAGGGCAAAATGGGCACATAAGGTGGTGATGCGATGCTTCGCACCCAACCCCCTCCCTGCCACCCACAAGAGGGGCTGCCCAAAAATGAGGAAGGAAAAGAAAGAAATGATGCAAAGGGAGGAAAGTTTTGGTGGAAGGATACTTCCTGCCCCTGAGAACCCCCAAGCTGCAGATCCAACCCATGGTTTTGCCACCCCGGGTAGAGCTGAAGTGGGAACCGAGCGCCGTGCATAAATGTTAGGGGCTTTCTGATCCCCTCAATCTGGACGCAATCAGACGACGAAACGCGGCACCAGAGGTCAAAGGATGTGGGGGGTCTTGGGGCTCCTTTTCCTCTACCGTGGCTCAGGGTGAGGCTTTGATTTCCACACAGGGAAACCAGAGAGGGTTGTGGTGTACGTTCATCAGCCAAATCCACCACCTGGCCCCCACCCTGTGCCCGGCTCCCTCCTGAGCAGAGCGTGCCGGAGGACTGCAGGACAAGATGCTTGCGTGACAGTGCAAGAGCAGCAGAGACACACATCTTCTGCCTCCTCCCACGGCCCCACAGCTAGACACACTCCTTACTGAGTAACCGTGCCACCCCGGTGCCGCTGTCTCCAGCCACGCTGTCCCCCTCCTCGCCCCTTTCAAAGCCCCCCGCCCTTTCTCCATCGAGCCCCTTGGCCATGCCAGGTTGCGCGTTATTATGGAGGTGGCAACGGGGCCTCGGTCCCTGCCTCACGCGAGCGCGGCCGCGACGCCAAAATAACCGACCGGGGCCTGGGGCGGGGGGGGGTGGTGAGAGGCTCGGCGGAGCCGCCGGCTGGCACCGTGCCCCGGGGTGACAGCCCTTGGGTGAAGCCGCCGGCGGGGCAGGAGGGCTGCGGGTTCCCCAGCAGCACCCCTGTTCCCTCAGGAACCCCGGGGGGCCGCTTCAGCCCTCTCTCCCCTTCCCCACCGACCCGGCCCTGACTCCAGCCTGGGACAGACATGGAGGGGGTGGGTTTACTTCCACGCGAAGCCCTTCCCGGAGGGGTCCGTCCTGAGGGGAGAGGACCCCTCCTGAGGCGGTGGAGGGAGGGTTGGGGGGGGCAGCCCCCCGCGGCGAGGCGGGAAACCGTCCCCAACGGTCGCTCTCCCCTCAGGGCCGGGGGCGGCCGGCTCTGCCCGCCATTAGCGCGCCCGCGCAGCCCTTCCCTCAGAAAAGGGGCAGGAAAGCCGCCGCCCGCCCCGGGTTCCTCGCCCTCGCCCGTGCAGCCTCCGCTCTTCCCCCGCCGGCTCCGGGCAACCCCCGGGGCTTCACCCCACCGTACCTGCGGGGCGAGAGCCGCCACAGCCGGCGGTCTTCCCCGCAACCTCCGGCGCTCGCAGCTCGGCAGCACCGCCCGCTGCCGGCGAGGGAAACTCACCTCCAGGCGGGCCAGGGGCAGGGAGAGGATGAACGCGAAGACCACGCCGAAATTCATCCCGACTTCAGGCCCCGCCGGCTGCGGGTACATGGACGGCGAGCCCCGGTTGGGAAGCGCTTCCCGCAGACAGCTCCGCGGCCGCCCGGCCTCAGGCATCGAGGGCTCCCCGCGTTCCCATGTCCCCTCCGAGCCGGGCTGGAGAGTTGCTGGAGTCCTTGGAAGAGGAGGTGGGTGGCAGTGGTGGTGGTGGTGGTGAGGGGAGACAGAAGTAATTCTCGGTGACTCGCCTGCCTCTGCGCTATCTCATCAGCCCGGTGGAAAAAAAAATGCAGTCCCTCGAATTTATACGCATCCGGAGCCTGCGTCCCCCTCACCGCAAGGGATGCTTCAGTATTGCCTTTTGCTAGGTGGTCCACATGCTATTTTTCCTCTTGATTTTCTTCCTTTTTAAAATATATGTGCGTAAAAGATTTTACATGCAGGTAACAACGGCTCAATGTTCTTAGGAAAAGATGCACAAAATAATAATTAAAAAAAACAACTTTTCCAAAGTTTGGTATGGAATCCAAAAAATAAAATCTTCTTCCTTTAAGGTGTCCTTTTCTTAAAATGCTCCTTTTCTTCCTTACACCCACTTGCTTTTTATCGTAAAGTTGCTAGTGTACATTGAATTTCTTCCCCTTACATTAAATTCTGGCTCGGGTGCCTTCTCCTTCGAAGTGTTGGCAGTTTGCTTGGACGTGAGGTTTGCTTTGGGTTTGGAGACAGGTGAGAGCAAATGTTTTTGCTCTGGGTTGCGTGTGTGTGTGTGCGTGCGCTGAGCCTTGACAAGCCTCAGAGCGAAGCCGCTGCTGCCTCCCCTGCTCTGTTGCAACAAGAAAGCAGAAAAAAAAAAAAAGGCAGAAAAGGTAAAATTGAAGGGGAGGCGAGCTGATGGGTCTTTATTTTAGTCTGCGAGCTGCAAGAGAGACTAAGCTGGCACTCGGGGCTGCTCCTTTTATAAAGGAGAGGAGATGGGTGGAGCATAGCTTGCAATCTTGGCCCTGTATCAAGGCAAAAAATCTGGGGAGGGAGTAGCACTCCATTGCTGACAAAATAAAAAGTGTGTTAATTTAAATGATAAATTAATTAAAAATGACTAATGCTGTAATAACCCGTATAATGTGGCTTTAATATCGCGTGAGGAATGGGGACAGAAATTCCTTACTCCTCGGCAAGAGATAAGGAGTTCCCGGCACGGTAGTTTGTTATTTATTTGGCCCTGGGTTCTCGCTGTTGCAGTCTGGAGCCCATTTCTCTAAGCTCTACTCGCCTTCTTCCCTGCTACACCACTAGCTCCAGGGAGAGAGACGGCTTTAATATCTTACATCTCTTTGTGTGCAGGGAAAAAAAAAAAAAAAAAGCCAGAGAAATTTAAACGTTGCTACAAGACAATCTGGTGTTGCTCATGGCACCGGGAGGTATTTTGCTGCATGATTATTTCCACGATGTAATAAACATCTGAAGGGAAATTAAGCAAGCAGATATTTGCTTGGGGGGGGGGGAGAGGGATAGGGAGGGAAAGGCTGCTAACAGGTGAGTTCAAGAAAGAGTCATATCCTATTGAAAAAACACCCGTACGCACGCCCTCTCATGTACATACGAGTGATCTCCCGGTGCGGAGCTGCACACTCGCAAAGCACACTCCAGGCACAACCAGGAGGGATTTCTGCACCATCTTTGTGCAGGCTCGTATCCACCGATACATTCCTGCACCGTCATGCACCGCAGGCTCTCGGCAGGCGTTCGCTCTGAATCCCAAGCATCTTCCCTGCTTTTTCTATGCTACGCACATGCTTCTATTCGAGCCGCTCGCATGCACAGCTACGTGCAAATTTTGTCTCATTCACACATCCCTGGGCATCCATGTGTTCTCCTTCACTCTTCCCCCTCTCTCTTCCTTTCTCACATACATACACCCACAGGCATACCAGTGGCCTCATCTCACAGCACCACACATGCTCCCTTAGACTATCTAGGTGCCTGCGAGTCTCATGCAGCCAACCCCCTCTAAAACGCACGGTCTCGCACCAGCACTTGCGTATGCACCATCCAAAGTGTCCGGGTATGAGAAGCAGCTACCAGAACTGAGCAGCAGGCAGCCCACCAAATGCTCTTCTGTAGTAGGCATCTGACAACACCTCCCAGCTTGGCTAGCTACTCTCCTGAACCTGATTTTGGTTCACGGATGTGGACGTCGGTCAGGAAGCACAGGGACACAAGGAGGACTGGGGGTCCTCCATAGCTTTCTTAAAATAGCATAGCTCCTCTGCTCCGCCCATCACAGGGATGGGTAACTCAAACACAAAATGAAAGGTCCTATGGTAGGGCAGTGTGTCAAGATGCTCTTGGGTCACAAGGGATCACCGCACTTCACCCTGACCCAGAAGAAGAGGGGGCAGATTTCCCCCCAGGTGGGGAGGTCGTCAGAGCCATGCCAGCTCCAAAGCCCGGGCTGTCTGAGGTGCACGAGTGCAGAGATAAGGAGTGTCCTGGGAGTCCCTCAAACCGAGTCTGGAGTGGCTCGGCCCCAATTTTGGAGCTCGAGTGGAAGGAAGTGGAAATGCAATGCATACCTTTGCTCATTTCCACCACCAGAGACCTTAACAGGACTTTACCTTAGATGTTCCAGCCATGCTAGCCCTGACCCACCCCAAATTCCTCAGAACGCTCTTAGAATTCCCTTCATTCTCCATCCTGGCCTGCCAGCAGCGTACCAGCCATTTCACGTGATGACAATTTGGCTCTGACCCCCCGACAGGGTGGAGCTACTGCCCTAGCATCTACCGGAACACTGAAACTCCTTCTGAAATCTGTAGGAGGCTCCAAAAAAAGGTTTTAAAAGGGCCTGGGTCCATCTCACCTCGCTTCAGATGGCAGCAGCCAAAGGAACGCCATAGCCCTGGGCTCCTTGGTGGTCAGCAGGGGGAAAGCTGAGGATTTGGAATGGCCAAACCAGCTTCTGGAAGTCCTTCTGTCTGTGTAGAGGGAGCTGAGAGCAGCTAGGTCCCAAATGTCCATCACCCCATTACGTGTTTAAAGTTCATAAGGGGTAAATGGAGGCTCCAGTGCCCTTGGAGGATCTCTACCCTCAAATAACCTGGCGTGGCTCCACCACCTTCAGGCCACCTTGTTCAAGCTGTGTAGGGGGTCCCCCATGCTGTAATGGCTGCCTGGCCAGGACAGAACAGCCTGCGTGTGGGAGGGTTGATTAAACTCCTCAGCAGGGAGAGATATCACCGCCGGAGAGGAGAAGGACTCAGCAGTAAGCTAGCAGGGACTGCTGCAAATTTCTTGCTCGGTAGCAACAAGAGCTGCTGCAAGGCCTGGGTTTGGGGGAGCTATGTGCAGTGTGTTTTTGTTTTTTAAATATCCGGCTACATTACATGCGAGCTAGGATAGAAATAGAGTTATTTATTTTCATGTAGATGATGCCGGGCAGTTTTTAGAAGCTCGACATCAGAAACAAAAAGCTAATCCCTGTTGAACCTCCAGACGGCAAGGAAGAGGATGTTTGGAATTTGACTAATCATCTACCTGACCCTGTCTGGAAATAGAGCAAAATGATATTCAAGCCACTGAGGCTTCAGTCGCTTTTCCTTACTCTTTGTGCTTTTAAGACAGGGACAAATTTTTCTCTAGTGAGGTGTTTAGACTCACTAAAGGCTGGGCCAGTCTCATTGGCATTGAGTTCAAGAGGGGCATGTGCACTTAAAACTGCTGTGCCTTGAACCGGGCGGGTGCTCCTTTGATCCTCTTGCTTTTATGAAATTAGCTTGTCATTTACCCCACAAACCACTAAATCTAATGGGGATGACTCTATCTTCCCCTCACCTGGCCTATGGAGTGGGTGTGGAGGCCTGCGGGGACTATCGGTATCCCAAATGTCACAGGACAAGAGTTTGAAACCACCATTGCATATGGTGGGAAGATATTTCAAGGCTGCATGAAGCAGCTGGACCATAAAAATGTCCCGCTAGAGCATTGCGACTTGACAAGGTCCAGTCCCAACTGTGCTAGCTGGCAATGGCCCTGCAGAAAAACCGCAACAAAACAGGGATTTCATAAGAGCCTGTAGCAGGGTTTCTTATTAAAACATTTTCACCACCACTATAGCTTTCTAACCTGCAAACAGCTGAACTCATCTCCTCGGTTATTTTCTTATCACTAGGGAGGAGGGCAACACGTGTCCAAGGACAATAGGCAGTTCCTTGCTGCAAGGCAGCTCTCCCCTCTTCTCACATTGGTGGAAAAAATGATCTACTAGCCACCATCCACAGAGGCACGATGTGAGGGGTGATATCTACTTTTTTCTTTTTTTTTTACTTTTTTTTTAGAAGGGGGAGAGAATTGTGAAACAGCAGGAAGAAAAACAGGGCTTACAATGGAAAGCAAGACTCAGTCTGAACAGCTGAGATGTCTCAGCCTCTCCATGATGAGCCCTATTTTGAAAAACAATCAATGGAAAGAAATTAGGAGGTGTTGACAGCCAACGTGTAGTCAGCCCGCCCACTCAAGGTATCTAACTGAGGTGTTGCTCTTGCTCCGGTCTCTAAGTTCAGGAGAACGATGAGCAATCCCTACGCCTACTCCGCGGGGCTGCCACAGCCGTCAATGGAGGGGAGCAGCCGTGACACTGAAATGAAGCACCTAGAGTAAGTTTTATGCCTAGTTTACGCCAGCAGGCCTGTTCCGCGGGTGCATCGGTTTTACGCCACATCGCCCGGTTGTGTGAGGTTTATCCCAACTCAAGCGATCAACAGAGTCATCGTACATAGCTTACACCGCTCTTTACACCATTTGGCCCAGAGGCTGCTGCCGTGGGAGCTGCCCTGACTTCCTAATGACTGAGTTTGGTCTAACAGAGGAAGAAAGGAGGAAAGGAGAAGAGGGACCAAAGGAAGGAGACAGAGACAGGCAGGGAGCCTGGTATTTATATTTGGTGCTGGAGAAAGGCAGAGCCTCGGGGTGCCCAGGGCTTGCATAATTTGCCTTCTTGCCCCTGGTGCTGGCAGGGAAAATGCTTTCCAAGGATGAGTAAAACCCTCACAGAGCAACTGGCCCCAAGGGAAAGGGAAGGTGTCACCCGGCAAGCAGGCGTTCGATGCGACCTGCCAGGCTTCCTCCAGGAACCCCCCCTCTGCCTATCTATCTCTCCCCGGCGGAGGGATTCCCCCAGCCCCTCGCCACCTCCTTCATCTCACCCATTCCTGGCAGAAACCTGGCAGAGAGGAGAGGATGGGGAAGGGCACGCAGATGC